TTGGCTGCTGCTGCTCCAGGCCTGGCCTCACCCAACCCGGCTGCTCTGGGCCCAGCTGCTCCAGGCCTGGCCGCTCCCAGCCTGGAAGCTGCTGCTCCGGGCCTGGCCGCTCCCAGCCTGGCAGCTGCTGGAGAGCCAAATTTTTAAAACTTAAACTATATAGTTAGGTACATTGTTATTAACTTAACTAAGCTGGCCTTAGCTAAAAACTGAAGGGGCCAAAGAGCCGCATGTGGCTCGTGAGCCGCAGTTTGCCAATCAGAGTCCTAAGACACTAATTAATCTCTTCTCCTAGGGTTGCTGAGGGGAGCTATCTGCATGAGGGGTCAGAGTACCTTGACTTACCTTCCCACCCATTCCCTCTACCTCACCCCTATGCTATGAAGAAATTGTAACCTTGTGGAAGTTATTAATTTCCCTGGTTTCAGTTTCTTTGGACTCAGCTACCTCTAACATCCTGGGACTCTGACTCCCTTCTCTCCCACTTCAACCCACTCCCTGTCCATGTGCTCTGAGTGGGGCTCTGCCCTGGCCCCAGGACATAAGTGCCCCAAATCCTTCAGGTCCCATGGCCAGCCCAACCAGAATAGACCTCCGGCCTTCTACCTTTCCACCGAACCTGGAAGGACATGAAGTGGGCAGCGCTGTGGCCATCTTATCATCAGGAGCGTCTGTCCCAGAAAAGAGCCAACATAGGAGCAGGAGAGCTAACACAGAAGAGTTGGAGACACATCAGAGGACCTGACGACATAGTTCGAGGGCCTGAAGCCTTGGGCTCTTTCCTCTTGGCCTAACCTACATACAGGTTTCTGTCCTCTGCAGAAAGCATCCTAACTTTTCCAAATCTTGTTTTATGGGTACCCAATTTCATTTAAAAGCACTTGGTAGTTTCAAATGTGGACACCCGTTATTCTATCCTGACATAAGGCAGTTTCCCTTCATTCACTGACTGTCTATCTGGACACCTTCAGGTATTTTTTACGCAAAGTAAATGTAAGACCATGGTCAAAAAGAATACTAACTTTTAGGGTAGCTAAAAAAAAAATCCAACAGCATAATAAAACCTAAAGAAATGAATTAAGTCAGCGTCAGCGTTGCTCTGTAGAAGTACTTGTAGGAATCCAGCAAGCCAGGAGCACAGCGAAAGGAGAATTTACAGTAGATAGACAACTACTGACAGGCAAAGAGGAAGGACAAGTTCTGTTTGGGACACTCAATTCCTTGAGAAGCATTTCAAAATAATCTTATATAGGCTGAATTTCATTTTTATTTTATTTTGCAGTCTGTTTTTTAAAAAAAGAATTTGTAAAGTATTTTTTTATTGATTCAGAGAGGAAGAGATAGAAAGAAACATCAATGATGAAAGAGAATCATTGATGAGCTGCCTCCAGCATGCCCCTCCTGCATGGCCGGGCTGGGAATTGAACCGTGATCTCCTGGTTCATTGGTCGATGCTCAACCACTGAGGCAGCCGGGCTTATTCTGCAGTCTTAATATGACACAGGTTACATCGAGAGGACTGGGAGAGAAGTCAGCACTCAGTTCCTCCATGTTTGCTTTCTTCTGTGTTTGATTTTTTTCTGCAGTGTACTGTTTTTATTTCTGTCTTATTTCCTTTTCCTGTGTTTTTTAGTTCTACTTCTTAGTGTTTACCCTTAAAGGTTATACTCAACTCTTAAATATAGAAGGATCTGTTTTGAATTATTACCACTTTAGCGTCAATAATATAAAACACTTCTGCTTTTATACAACTCCATCTCTCTTTCAGGTGGCTATTGTCATCATAAATTAAATGTTTGTACAGCCTATGTTCATTAATATAGGTCTATAATTATTGCTTATGCCTTTGTATTTTAAATTGATAGGAGAAAAAATATAATAATACTTTGTATATACCTATCTAGTTTCATTGACCATTGCTCTCTATTTTGTCACATTGCTTCCAGTTATTGTCTAGCATCCTTTCCTTTTTGCCCGAAGGACTTCTCTTAGCATTTCTCATTGGGCAGGTCTACAAGTTGCACATGTCAAGACTTGGACTTGTGGACTAACCGGGAGGCACCTGTGGGAGGCACTTGGCTGTCTTTTCATAGAAGCCTAGATCGGAGCCAAGCTCCACCAATGACTCCCTTTTGAGCTGGACTCAGAGAACTGTCATTTTCTCTGCCCCACTCAGGCTTTGAAGTGAGTCAAGACATCTAGCGAGCCATGGGACTGCCAAGTTACTCCTCTTATTTGGGCCTTTTTCCTTATCTGGAAAATTAGGTGTTATACAATAGATCAGGGTTGTCCAACGTTTTCTGAAAAGGCCGGATAGTAAGTATTTTAGATGCCGCCGGCCACATAAAGTCACAACTGCTCAGCTTTACCATCGTAGTGCCAAAGCAGCCAAAAATAACAGTAACCTAAGGGGTGTGGCTGTTCCAATAAAAGTCATCTAGGAAAATAGGAAGCAAGCCAATCTGGCCTGTGGGCCACAGTTTGCCAACCCCTATTCTAAATGGTCCTGGAGAGTCCTTCTGGCTTTAAAATATAAAAGGTCTGATAATTTACACTGTGTTATTAGTGTCCTTTCACTCCTTCATATCATTATGGAGCATTCTCTCTACCAGCAATACTACCAGAACTACTACCAGCCTCTTATTTGTGCATGTGTGAACCAAGCAAGTGTGTGTGTGTGTGTGTGTGTACTTTATTTATTTTTCCTAGCAAGACTATTAGGTGAATACTATTATAATCACCATTTTACATAAGAAGGAACTAAGTTGAGAGAGGTTCCTTAACTGGTCCAATGCCAGGTCTGACCTGCAGACCCTGAACAACAGATGAACAGATTACTCCGACACAGTGTCACTGTGAAAGAGAGGGCTAAGGGCTCAAGGCACCAAGAAGCCCCAATGGCCTGCCTAGTTAGGCTTTTATTACAGATTGAGATAATGTTTATATTTTAGGTACAATCAACAGGGTGAGTAGTATTGGGAGGACACACATGTTTACATTGTCAAGGGCATCCAGGGATTAAGCATAAAGATTCCAGTAACCACTCTGGGGTCTGCACCTGCACAGATGTGTTTGGAAAGGTCAAGGAATAGTTAGGGGCCTTTGACACTCCCCTAAGTCTCCCCTAAGTTGGAATTCTGATAAACAGGGCAGGCGGCCTTCCACACACTCCCCTTTTCTCGGAATATCCTCCTCACAAGCTTTCCAACCAAGTTTCATGTGCTCCCCAACAGTCCAAGGCCACAGAGTTGGGAATAGCAAGAAGCAAGCCAGTGGATCTCCAAACCTTTGTTATGTTTTCTCCATCTCATGCTGCCTATAGTAGAGGGTTTTTTTGTTTATTTGTTTGTTTGCTTTAATATATTTTATTGATTTTTTTTTTTTTTACAGAGAGGAAGGGAAAGAGATAGAGAGCTAGAAATGTCGATGAGAGAGAAACATTGACCAGCTGCCTCTTGCACACCCCCTACTGGGGATGTGCCCATAACCAAGGTACATGCCCTTGACCGGAATCGAACCTGGGACCTTTCAGTCCTTAGACCGATGCTCTACCACTGAGACTAACCAGTTTTGGCTATAGTAGAGGTGTTTTTTTTTTGTTGTTTTGTTTTTTAACACAATAGAGAACTCAATTTTCTTGGGAGGGAAAACAAATCTTGAACATACCATGTAAAGTATAACCCCCCCCCCCCCAAAATGCCACATAGACTCTTTCTAAATTATAAATATAGCGATTAGCTGCTGACTTAAAATGCGATCTCTAAGATGCAAAGGCCAGCAAAAGAACATGTTGAGGCCCTCACCATCTGTCTGGCAAGACATGTAAAGGAATTAGTGAAAAAGAAAAAAAATGCAGTTCTGCATTAATTACAGTGGGAATGCTTTTAATTACTCTCTACTCAGTGCGCTTGGCAGACCAACCGACACATCCTCGCGTTACCCGCCGGCCCCCAGCACTCTGCTTCCCGGGAGCATGGCACTTGGGCCTGTGCTAGCTCCCCGCAGCTGACAGGTCTGGGGGTCATCCAAAGAACGGAGGGACAAATGCGCATGTTGAAGTTCTTATTAAAAGCTTAACATGGGTGCGTTAAATTCCAATTATTTCCACTTTCACCAACCTTTTAGAGTCTTTTAGAGTACCTAAGCAACATCTCATCCGTTTTGATAAAAGGCGTCCTATTCAATTTGATTCAGGGTTTCAGAGACAATATTGATTACAGCTGAAGAAATTTGGGAAGAAAAAAAAAAAGAAAGAAATTTGGGAAGAAAATTTAATCAAATGAGCAGGGCTTAAACGATTCCTTGACAGTTATGTAGGATCCAAATAGGTGATTGAGGGGAGTCAAGGAAGGCACAAAGGCATGAAGCAGACAATGTACAGTGCCCTCCGTCCCCCTCTTTATCCACGGGTTCTGCAACTGAACCAGCGCTGCATGCCTTGGCAGTTTATGCAGAGGGAGGGCACTGAGGCAGTGTTTTCTTGCCTTGCCCAGACTGGAAAAGATGAAGTTCTTGTCCCTTTTTGTGCTTCCACGAGTCCCATGCTCAGCCTGCACTGAGCAGAAGGAGTAGCAGCAGCAGCCCAGAGGCTGGGCGCTAGGGAGAGCCGTGAACATGTCCTCACTGGTTTGGTTTGCAGGGAACCTCCTGTCCTGACTAAGCGCCTTTCAGTAAGACAGACTCAGTGGTCTCCCCCGAGCTGTTCTCTGCAGACAGAGGGTCCCTAAAACTGCCCTCTGTCTAAAACAGGGGAAGGCTGAGTCCCAGCTCTCACTGTCCCTGGACCGAGCCCAGAACGAAATCTAATTGTGCTGTGGCTCTCGGGGGTGGATGGGTTGGGTTGTGAGGGGCATTCCTTGCTCTGAGACGTTCACAGAGCACACGCTGTCTTCCAGAAACAGAAATCTGAGCGTGGGAAGAGGTGGGATGGTCCTGGAGGACAGGAAACGAGGATTGTGGGTTTCTGGAAAGGGCTGGAAGCCACAAAAGCAGGCTGCGCTGCGCTCGCTTCAGCAACACATACACTGAAACGGAAACAGTACGGAGCAGGTTAGCATGGCTCTTGTTCAGGGATGACACTCAAATTCGTGAAGCCTTTCATAAAAAAAATAAATAAATAAAATATCAGGCTGTGCTTACTTACAAGCACGATTCCGCATGCCGGCTCCCAATGCAGCTTTTAAAGTTCCTTAAATCCAAGAAAAATTCCTGCAGCCAAGGCCGGTGTGGCTCAGTTGGATGAGCATCGACTAGTTTATTCCTGGTCAGGAAACATGCCAGGATTTTGGGACTCAATCCCAGTAGGGGGAGTGGATCAGTGTTTCTCTCTCTCCTTTCTTCTCTCTCAAATCAATAAAAACGTGTGTTTGTTTTTGTTTTTTGAAGCCCAGGCCAGTGTTCTCAGTGGTTAGAGCGTTGGCCTGCACACCAACAGTCATAGGTTCAATTTTCGGTCAAGGGCATATACCTGGGTTGCAGGTTTGGTCTCTAGTGCAGGAGGCAACCAATCAATGTGTTTCTCTCGCATAATTCTTTCTTTCTTTCTCTTTCTCTCCCCTTCCATCCCTTCCTCCCACTCTCTCTAAATATCAATGAAAAAAAATGGCCTTGGGTGGAGATTAACATAAAAAACAACAGCACCAGTGTGCTTCAGTGGTTAAGCATCGACCTATGAACCAGGAGGTCACGGTTCAATTCCCGGCCAGGGCACATATCTGGGTTGCAAGCTCTACACCCAGAGGGGGGCGTACTTCTCTCATCTTGATGTTTTTATGTCTCTCTCTCCCTTCCTCTCTGAAATCAATACAAATATATGTTTTTAGAAAAGAAATTTCTGCAAAGCAAGGAATCTTTCCTGCTTTTATTCTCTACCACCGGAGTCTTTGAAGAGAGCGTAGTATGTATCTAAGCAGTGTATTTAAAAACACTTTAAAAGTTCTACAGCTGTATGAACACTTGGCATTGTTTTTACATTATTTCAACATTTGCCTAGATGATATCATAGGACAGGCAGACTTTGGAGATAGTGCTGGTTTGGTTTCAGACCACCACAATCAAGCAAATATTGCAATAAAATGAGTGGCATGAATTTTATTTATTTTCTTCAATAACTTTTTCCCCCCCATTCACTAATTGTTTGGTACAAGAGCCTAGCTTTAGGCCTATTTTAGCTTTAAAAAAATTATTGATTAATTTTAGAGAGAAAGAAGGGGGAGAGAGAGAGCAAAATATTGACTTGTTGTTCCACTTATTTATGCCTTTTTTGGTTGCTTCTTGTATGTGCCCTGATCAGGGATCGAACCTGCAACCTTGGGGCATCTGGGAGGGTCACATCCAAGGGGTCACATTCCTCACACCCAGCTCTGCCAAAAATAACAGCATTACAGACGTTCATCCCCGTTGCTAACCAACTTAGAAGATCATAAAATTGCAATACAAGTCTAACAACATCCATCACATCCCAAGGCTGGAAGACAGGGCACTTATTCACACATTTTTAAAAATATATGTATTTTTAAAATTATTTTATTGATCTTTTTACAGAGAGGAAGAGAGAGGGATAGAGAGTTAGAAACATTGATGAGAGAGAATCATCGATAAGCTGCCTCTTGCACACCCCCTACCGGGGATGTGCCCGCAACCAAGGTACATGCCCTTGACCGGAATCGAACCTGGGACCCTTCAAGTCCGGAGGCTGATGCTCTATCCACCGAGCCAAACTGGTTTTGGCTACTCACACATTTTTGAAGGACACAACACCCTTTGCTATTTCTTCATTACAATATGGATCCTCGCAAAGAGATGAGTCATTAATATTTCCCTCTTTTAAACCTCCTAGGGGGGAAAAAAAAAATCTTGAGTGGTTTTTCCTATGCAGTATCACTGGAAAAGCAGAGTCACCTCGTACAGCCTGACCAAGAGGCAATTGAACTGTGCAAAATTAAACACGTCTCACATGACGGTCATGGGTTCCCTCGGGAGAGCTGAATCACCTGCACAGAAGCAGACTCCCTGGGAGAAGAACAGAAGCATGAGCAAGGAGAGGAAATCTTGTGGTGAGAGACCTAGCGGGAAGCGAGCGTGTAGGTCAGTCACCACCCGAATCCCTCTGATGCTAACGGAGTAGGATAATTGTGGTCCACCACTCAGTGTCTCCTGAGCGCCCTCAGTGTGGCCTCTAAGGTGGCCCGTGGTCCTGAGGGGAAGCTGAGGGCCACAGGGATAAGGACTCCTCCGAGGTCAGGATGCTGACACACTGGGAACAGAGCCCAGGCCAGGGGTCGGCAAACTCATTAGTCCACAGAGCCAGATAGCAATAGCACAACGATTGACATTTCTTCGGCGAGCCACATGTTTTAAACTTAAACGTCTTCTAACGCCACTTCTTCAAAGTAGACTTGCCCAGGCCGTGGTATTTTGTGGCAGAGCCACACTCAAGGGGCCAAAGAGCTGCATGTGGCTCGCGAGCCGCGGTTGGCCAACCGCTGGCCTAGGCCTTCCGGCGGGAAGAAGGTGCTGTGACTCTCCTCAGATTGCTTTCTCGTCAGCCCTGGATGCTATGTTGGTGTCCCTACGGATACAGAACAGCCAAAGCAGAGGGGTCCTCGGCTACCTAGCGGCTCCGTGTTCCAGGTCACCTTAGCAGTGCTGGCGGCATGCTCTGTGCTTTCGGCCTCCAGCCTCTCCCGGACACAGCCCACCTCGCCCCTGCTCCCAAGGAGCCAGGTTTCCCTGCTGATCACGCCTCCTCCACCGGTCCCCAGAGCTGCCTCTGCCCAGCAATGGGCAGGCATGGGCAGGCATGGGAATATAAACGTTCTCAACCTTTTGTTCATTGGACAACTCTGAGATGGACTCTACCTTCCCCCCCCCCCCCCAAGTCTCCTCTGCTTGGTGTCACCCCTTTTCTTGGTCCTCCTTTTTTTCCTTCCCCACTTCCTTATTCTCCTTGTGATTTTTCCTGGGAACACTCCCAATAACATCGTTTTCATATGGGTTTTCTGTGTCTCAGAATCTGCTTCCAGGGAATGCAAATGAAAGACCAACTCTGAGCCTGGCCAGTGTGGCTCAGTGGTCGAGCATCAACCTATGAACCAGGAGATCATGGTTCGATTCCCTGTTGGGGCACATGCTCTGGTTTTGGGCTCGATCCCCAGAAGGGGCCATGCAGGATGATCAGTGATTCTCATCACTGATGTTCCTATCTCCCTCTCCCTTCCTCTCTGAAATAAATAACATATTAAAAAAAATATTAAAAAAAGAAAAACCAACTCCGAAATAATGTCACCACCACCACCAACAACAAAAAACACCATGTCTTGAGCATGCTCTGCATAGAGCTGGGCACCAGAGAACCTTGGTTCAAATCCTGGACCCACTACTACAATAAATCTGGGGCCTGATTTGAGACATGTTATGGAGCCTCTCTTATCTAAGTTTCCTCCTGGGTAAAGCATGGAACAGAACCTCTTTCTCGGGGATATTAAGTGCCTGTGATTAGGTGGGTGTGGGTGTGGGTCCGGGGCTTGGTACTTAATTAGAGAAGAGGCCAGGTCAGGGCCTTGGTATGCATTGAGGCTGCAGTCAGATTACTTACCCAATTGTCTATCACTGATACCTGTGACCACAGAGGGTAACAATTTATTTCCAAACGTGGCTGATCAGTGAGGCAAGAGAAATGGCTTTTTTTTTTTTTTTTTTTTTTTTTTTTTTTTTTTTTTTTGTATCTTTCATGGGGCTTAACCATTGAAGGGTTTGCAAGCTCTTGTGGACAGACTGGTGGACACAGAAGGGACGACGGGAGCTTTGTAGGGGGACACAGTGGGAAGCAGAAGCGAAAGGGAGCCCATGGAGCAGGTATAAGCTGGGGCGACAAGCCTGAAATGGGAGGGGGGGGAAAGGAGACCGGAAGAAAATGCTGTAGCTTTCCAGGGAACAACTGAGCTGTTCTCCACATGCTAATTTATGCCTGAATTCCCAAGAAATGGAGATTGCGATCTTGCAGGTTACAACCCAGCCTCCCATGGGGGCAGTTGGACCTTCCACCCGCCAGAAATTTTAAATCGTGTGTCATCCACGACGTCTCGTGCCCTATTTTTTTCCAAAGCCCCGGGTCTGGGCTTTCCTTGAACTAGATAAATCTTTTTAAAAGCAGGCCTGTATTCTAACGACACTTCTATCTCAGTTTTATAAAGAGTGAAATATTGACTTTTTGAAAACACTATGTAAATCATAATCTTAGTGTCATTGAATGAAGTGGGGTTTTTGGTGTGTGTGTGTGTGTGTGAATCCTGATGAGCAAATCCACTGCGTGTTTCCAAGAGAGCTTTCCATGGCTAATTTCCCAGCCGTGGCTGGCGCGGAAGGGTTGTCAGATTCAGCAGGAGAGCCACATAAGCATTCAACATTCCCAAGTAGTAACTGTCTCTTCGGCTGCTTCTCAGTCTGGGAAGCAGCAAGAACGGTTCAGCACTATGGGGAAACGGTGTTGTTTATTTTAAAGGGAATGAAAATGTTTGAGGAGCCTGTGCCGCTGGAGAAAGGGCCTTCTCCTTAGCCTCCCACATGACTCTGTGTCTCTGATCACAACGGAAAGAACCCTGAGTTTCCTAATGCTATCCGAGTTCTGCATTCAGGCCCCGGAACAGGGAAGTGAAGAGATATGTGTGTAAGAGACACTCGTAAGAGAAACGTAGAGAACAAGCGTATTACCAGACGATCTATGTGGGTGAAAAAGGGGCCACATCCCAAACGTGGCAAGCTCAGGGGAGGCCTGCACGGTCGGCCGGTCTTACAAACTCAGAGCTACAGAGGATGGTCTGGACATAAAAATGCCAACTAAAAGCAGTCATAGCGGGTAGTCACCTCCTATGCCTGTGGCTTCCTTGACAAAGGTCAGTCTTTACCTTAACTTAGCCTGCCTGCCTGTCTGTCTATTTATTTTTGCATCTAGGATAACATTCCTTTGGAATCACAGGGCGAATCCCCCTTTCCCAGACCCCCCTCAGGACACAATCACCCACCAGAGCAGAGATATTTTGTTACCCAAATTCCATCTCTGTGCGCTGTAAGCATTCATTGCTAACTATCCTAGACCTGTTGATGTAA